TTCCACATCATATAGTTATGATCAAAATTATGATTGAATATATTATATGGGTCAACATTTTGTTGGCCTATGATTCTAGCTCATAATCCAAAAGCATAAAATCCCACTAGACTTTAAGTAAATTAAAAATGTAGGAGAGTGACAGCTTTAACTCTTAAACCATGTTCATTTGCCTTTAGAATGACAGAATTAAAATATTTAAAAGCAGTACCATTTTCCAAGATGTACTCTATCACTGTGTTTTATGTAGACACAAGTATATCAAATCATGATTATGCACATGGACATTGTATTTCAGTTAAATGACAAGCCTGCATTATCTAACCATATTTTGACATTTACAGGTCGATTAGTTGACTCGTTGTGTGTATTTTCATGATGTTAAATCATTATATATTATCCCTTCCAATACAAGCAGTCAAAGGAAAATATTTCTCATCTTTCTGGGAAGCTCTGTTTAAAACTGGCATGATTTCGTTAAGTATTTCATAAACCTGAATAGTGAAATAATAAGTGCTATGTTAATTTATGTCTGAAAGTATTAAGCTACAATTTGATATTTATTAAACCAGAGAACATATTACACATTTTTCTTTGCATGTTTGTGATTTATTTTGAATTCTTAAACATAATTACCAAATACCTGTTATATCACATATTGGTAGAGACATTTTGTGGTTGCCATTCATAATGGTAGAATTTTCTATTTCAATTTTCTGCTAATCTTGAATATTTTATATAATATGATTTGAAGCTCTGTTGTTTATTAACAGATATTGAACACATGCTAATAACTGTTTCACATTCCTGGGGAAGTAGTCTTCATATGATTTTACAATCATTTTCTTTGTCTCCAGAATTTTTACTTAAAATATAACACATATAACTAATGTAAAATTATACATTTATGGAGTTCTCTTATTTAGCATTTTTGTATAAATATTGAAGTTTACACATAAAACAGTTGGTTGTAGCATATAATTTTTATACATATATCAGTATATTGTATTCCTATTCATCCCTGTAGCATATTATTTTTATACATATGTCAGTATATTGTATTCCTATTCATCTCTCTACTACATGTTTTTTTTTTTTATTTCCACATTCCACCACCTCCTTCTTGTTGTTCCCATTATTCCTCATTGTTTTCTTTTTTGCATACCTACAGCTTGTATTTAAAGCCTGGTTTATATAAACAGAGAATATTCAGGCAACACTTGTGATGGAAATTATCCACATTAAAAATGTTTTTCAAAACAGAAAGGACAGATGTTGAAAGGACATTTACACACCTTTCCAGTAATCAGAGCATCCAGTGTACACCTCTGTGAGAACCAAAGCCTCACCTGAACTGACTCTTACCACCCTAGGAAAAATGCCTGAGTTATTGTTTCTAAAGTTGGAATATTAGATCACTGGATGAATGTAGTTAATTTTAGATAAAATTCTCTACATACTTCTGATGGAAATGCTAGTGCAGCCACTATGGACATCAATATATAGGTCACTCAACAGACTAAAATTGAACTACTACCTGTTGCAGCTACATCACCCTTTTGTATATATTTCTAGAGGATCCAATGCCTGCCTGCAACAGAGACAACTACAACCCACATTTCTTGCTGCATATTCACGACAACTAGTTTTTAGATAACTCATTGTGGAATATTAATAGTAATAATTAATAATAATGACTCATTAAGTGATCTTCTATATATTTTTTCAGATGAACAATTTCCTCAAAGTATTGTTTTTGTACTGTTGTTAGTCTCTTCACTGAATTGATCATGCCCTTTGTTATCCAGATATATATAAATTAAATTTAATGGCATTTGTCTGGGTTTATTTTATTACTTATATTAATATCTTAAAGAGTTTCTTTTGCTTCTAGTGTTTTCCTGCTGAAAATTAATATACATTCCTATATAGATTATGAAACTCGATGAAAAAGTCTATTGTTATATTACATGCTAAGGCTAAATCAACAACAATATATTTATTATGTATAATTATGTAATATAAAATAAAGTGCTAGTCACCAATGAGCTACAGATATGGTAATTATTCCACAATATTAAAATAGATAGTTTATGTGAAGTTTGAATAAGAATGTCATCCAAAGGTTTCTTATATGAGAATGCCTAGGTAATGGCATTCTTTGATGTAGATATGGCCTTGTTTGGGGTAGGTATAGATTTATTGGAGGAAATGTGACACTGGGATTGAGACATAGAATTTTAGAAGCTCAAGCTAGACCTCGTGGCTCTTTCTCTTTCTCTCTGTCTGATGACATCATATGCAGATGTAGATCTCTCAGCTACCATGTCTGCCTGCAGTCCACCCTGCTGCCTGCTATGAGGATAGTGGACTGAATCTCTAAAATTGTAAAGGAGCTCCAATGTCATGGTTATCATATCTCTTATCAGCAATAGAAAAGTAATTAATGGAGACTGTCACATAGATTCATGGAGCAAAGTAGCCTTGCAAGATATTGTACACACAATGTGAGAACCTCCACAAACACATTAACAATTGGCTAAGCTTTCTGTCCTTGGGCTAATGAGCTGTCTACATCCACTCCAGTGATCACAACGCAAGTCATTCTTTAGGCAGATTACTAGGAATCAAACATGGTGATCATGGTTCCTAATTTTCCAGTACAACAAACAAATTAATGCGATAGATGTGGTATGATGTAATGGGAAAGTATCAGGGATACCATCCCTCCATTTTTAAAATTGCTTTAAATGTGTCTACTGATAACTGTGCTTTAGGATCGAAGGGCTAGACCAGTAATCAAAAGATGGAGATGTTTTGTTCCAGATTAGGTTTATACTAAAATAAATGTGCTGGGTTACAGATTAAGTTTATGTTACAAATCCACACTATACCATTGTTGTGCTTTTGCTGCAAGGGCAGGCAATTAAACACAAACCACAGGACTGAACACGACCAGCTGATGTTTATTTCAGGAGGGAAATAAGAGGGGTGAAAGTTGTTGGCCAACCGGGAACAGAGAAAGAGAGAGAGAGAGACAGAGAGAGAGAGAGAGAGAGAGAGAGAGAGAGAGAGCTTGCGAAAGGTGCTTTTTTAAAACGGAAATGATTCATATGTACACCGAGTCCTTACACATCCATGTAAGGAGTGATTTAGGCATCATGTAGCCACACCAGGTATGCGTGTGCAGCCCACTGTCAGGGCCAGGGTCATTATATGCCGAGGTTCCAACAATGCCACCCCTTACCATTAAATACAAGGGGAGTTAGGCGTGGCAGGATATAGAGTAAATACATTTAGTTCTCATCACTACTTCCTGATGATCTGTGGGCATAGATCATCTTTGGGGAACCAAAGAAACATTAGTTATTGCTACATTCTGGGAAAGCTGGATGTTTCATCACATTCCGTGATGCATAGAAATCTAGTACCTCTGTAGGCCTGGCAAGATGTTGGCAGATTGGAGGACAAGATTTAGAAACAATTTTTTTTCTTAAGTACGGGTCCTTGAATGGAAGACTGTAAGATGGGCATGGTGTATTTTTTTTTTTCAAGAGATGAGGGAAAGGTGTCTAGTGATGAGGGAGCAATTGAATAGGCTGTGTCTGGAGTGAATCTGGCCTGTTTGTGTGGGTCAAGTTTGGCATCCTGAAACTTACAAGAACCCTCTGAGTTTGTGAAAATATAAATCCTATTCACATTAGCAGCTTAGTGTTAGAAATAATTTGTCTGGATGCATTAACATTTTCAAAACTGACAGATAATTTATCTCTTTAATGTTGACAATGCAATTATGATCATATATTGGGATAGTTTGGTGTTCAGTACACAATCAGAGTTGGAATTCTAGTTTATTAGTTGGTTTTTCCATTGTAGTCTAGGCTGGATGGAATATTTCTGGTTACTTTTACTCGGGAGATCATTGTCTGTCCAAATCAGTGGCTTCTAGCTGGCATTCCTGTAACAACAGCTACTTGGCTGGAATAGAAGTCTTGAATGAGTTGTTTAGGGATAGGTAGAGAGGAAATTGATGAGCAGGGTGCAATTAAAAAAGGAAGAGTTCAGATCATTCTGAGAACAGGAAGGAATGCATATGAGGTTCCCAGTCCGGTATGTGTGGTTGTAGGAGTGAATCCTGTTTCTTCTGAAGTAGGACACAAGCTGTATGATAACTGTTTCTTCTGAAGCTTAAAGGAACAACATCCCATTGTGGTGTCTGTATATGAGTTGTGAGTTTCAGGTCAGGAAATACAGGGTTTTAGGTGGAATAGTTGAATCCATTGGGGAACGCCCTCATCAGAGCAGCTGCTGGAGTGGCAAGAATTTCCTAGAAGTGGACACTTCTCACAAGGGAAGAACTGTAGGTGGTTCGGCTTTGGTAGGTTGAGGGCATGTAGCAGCATGAGCATAGGTAACTAGGGTTAAATTAGATGGAAGAGTTCGTCATTCAGAAGAAGAAGCTGGAGAGCAAGAAACTGGAGGAGAAAAAGCTCAAGAGGAAGAAAGACAAGGAGTAGGAGCAAAAAGAGCCAAAGGGGTAGTTGGATGTTGAGGATGAATTGTTGGAGGTTCATCAAAGGGGTCTGTGTTAGTGGAGTTTGCCTCATAGTTAGATTTCATGGCTAAAACGAAATGAGATGGAGAAGAGGAAGATGAAAGAGAATGTTTAGCAGAGAGGTAGTAGAAAGCTTGGACCTGCTGTAGCTCCTTCCATCTACCATTCTGCTGGTAGTAATTTGGAAGGTTCCATAAAATGTCAGGATCCAAAGAGCCATCAGGTGGCCAGTTTGACTAATTATGTATGTTGTTTCTAGGCCATTTCTTATTACTGACATGAGTGGTTCTGGGTGGCTTAAAGATTGCAATTAAGTGAAAGGGTTTTATATTTTCTAGCAGACATCCCATTGTAGTGGATGTGATTTTGTCTTTTGTTGGTTTGTTTCCCATGGGTGAAACAAAAATGTCAAAGATCACTCTCGGAGCTTGCCAGGTTGAGAACGATGTCAAGGGCAAGACTCAACAGGACTCAGCAGTCTGAAAAACCGTACTCAGTAACCACCAGAGTCTTAAAGCTGAAAGTTGAATGTACCGCTCAGCGAGGGCAGTATTGGACTTCACCCATAGGAAATGTACCAGAGGTAATGGTCAGTGAGAGGAATCCTCAGTGCCCTTAAAGAAGGAGACGGGGGCTCCCCTGCTTCCAGGATCACCAGAAGTGTACTTATTGGAAGATCAATAGCCTTCAAATTCAAGGAAATGTCTCCCCTGACCAGGAGAAAGGGTACCTTACTGAAGTATAGCCGCTATTAGATGGTGATCTCAGCAGATGATGAGTGGGCTGTCATTAGGGATCAGAATCCACAAATGTCTTGGCCAACCACCAGCAAGTGACAGGAGGATTAAAGAGAGAGCATGTGTCAGTTTCACAGCACCAAATATTTTTATGTGGCTACAGTGGCAGAGAAGGAAACACAAGACTCAACATACCCACATGGAGTTTTTGATGAAGGGAAATAATGGAGGTATGATTAGGTGTTGGCCAACCAGGAAGAGAGAAGAGAGGAGGGGTGAAGGGCCCGTGCTTAAAAGGGGATGCTTTCACATGCATACTCAATCCTTACTCCTTACAAATCTCTATTTGTGATGTATCTATGACGTGGACACACAGGTATGGTATGTCTCACTCATGGTCAAGGTGAAGAGTCAGCATAATGCCAAAGTTCCAATAAGCATCATGCATACTTAGTATGTAGGATGTAACTAAATATCTATCAGATGTATGCCCAATTTAGAAAATGGAGCAAAAAGGAAAAGCTTTAGAATTATGAGGATTAAGGCCTGGCAGAAGTACAATAACTGCTTAAAAAAAAACACAATAATCATATAATTGTAGAGAGTGGAAAACAAAGAACAGTGCTGGCAACATGATGTCAGTAAACTTGAGAAAGAAATAAAGAAGGGCAAGAAAGTGGGACATGACCATAATTTGATTGAACTTAAAACCTATATGGTTTGGTAAAATTAAAAAGTGGGATAAGAGAGAAAAAATTGGGAAAGGGGTCATTTTGTGGATAGTGTCTATGAGGACATCTTGGGGCAATAATAGCTTTATAGCTATGATGGTAATAGGCGAAATACTTTATAACATAAAATGAAAGGTGTTATGTTATTGGTTAAATAGCATGTAGGCTCATACTCATTAGTTATTCGATAATATGTTTGTACAAAAGTTCCAAAGCTTCTGCAGCACAGATTTGTCTGACCTTCTAAACCCAATATGAACTTTGATACCATGAATACTCACCATGCTACACTCTCTCTAGTAGTTACCTTTCTGAGGTTTGACAACTCAAAATTGTGAATGTGTAAGAACAGTCATAATTGGAGCTGGAGAACTGAGAATTGAACTCGTCAAAAGGACACATCACCAAAAATCCTATCAAGAATATCTTGAAAATGAGGCATTGAAAAGTTATAATAAGTAAATTGTTAGAAATTGCAATGGAGAAACAAATTTTGTAAGAATAATAGAAAAATAGTCAATTTCCTTTTAACATAATAACTCGCGGATGTTATGAATATCGACTGTGACCTCAATTGCCCTTGTGTCATACCTTATTTTTGTTGTTGTTGTTCTTTAAAACCCAGATAATTTGTGTGGGTTGATTGCCTCCAAGTTTAGTGTGGGCTTTTATTGTGATAAACATATTAACTAAATGAATCTATATTTTTACGTAAATGTTCTTAGATCTTAAATCAGCAGATAAAATTTATCTAAAATAACTGGGTACAGCATTGGGGTGCTGTATTAAAATGGGAGGAAAATGCCCTGAGTTGGTACAAAATAATTTTCAAAGAAAACATTTCTAAAGATTTTTCAATGAAGTGACACTTTGTCCCAGTGTCTGTGAATGAGAAATCATTGACCTGCAAAATTTTAGACAGCTCTGTTTTTCTAGGGTGAAAGTGACAACACAAAATAGTAGACAGGAAAATTTGGGATTTGGGGACAAGAATGTGTATTTGCATGCCAGGATTGCTAAACAAAATAGCACAGACTTATTAGCTTAGACAACAAATAACTTATATTCTCAAAATTGTGAACTTCCTAAATCTGAACAAAAGGTTTAATTATTTTAGGGTGTTTCTCCTGGATTCTAAGTGTTGGTCTCTACTTCTGACTTCAGATGGCCTGATCTGAGTGTCCCTGTATTCTAATATATTATAAGAACTCCAATTATATAGGGTTAGAACTTATATATATTTGATAGAAGTTGCCTAAATTTCCTGTACAAAGGCCCCATCTTCATAAAACGTCACAGTCTTAGGGGCTGCATGCTGAGATTAAAATAGGACTTGATGGGGAAATAATTCAGTCCTTAACCCTGAGTATGTAGGTTAATACCTGCTGCATTTCTCAGACAATTCAAAAAATATCACATTATTTTTAAAAAAAAATATTTTGTTTTACTGAAATGTATTAGAATGAAACCTTCTCCAATATCCGATATTATTTCCAGAATGTAGGTTATGTACCACACAATATACATAAACAGAAAGGAAAGAAATATGAATCACACCCATAGCAGTGTATGAGCAACTAACACAATTAATTTAAAAATTCAAATCACAATGACAATAATTTAAAGGTAAAACAAACTAGTACTTTTTTTCAAAAACAGTTTTTCAAATCTAATAAATACGTACTGTTTTAAAGAAACACGGAACACACAGCAGGGAGGTCATAGGTGATGGCACACCAACATTGGTGAGGCAGAGGCAGGCAGATCTCTATGAGTCAGAGGCCTGCCTGGTCTACAGAGCTAGTTCCCGGTCAGCCCTAGTTATACAGGGACACCCTGTTACAATAAAAAAAAAAGTAAGAAAGAAAGGCATTTCGAGACATGTCTACTAATGAATTTGTCAGTTTATTATTCAAAGCATTATGCCTGTGCCTAATGTAAATGAACTGAGCTGCAAGTTGAAATTATGTGACCCTGGATATCCACATCTTCGGAAGCAAAACTCATTATTAGTATATATTAATTAATGTAAATTTATAAATGTGCATACTGTATAAAAAAAATGATCTATGACCGAAGTGTATATAGGACTAAACATGGTGAATTTTGTATTTTTATATGAATTTGACAGTGTAAGCAATGGGCACAGTAAAGAGATCACTGAGATGGCTGCTCCAGGGTAGGGATGGCAGGTTTTTATTTTAGGTGAGAGAAAATGAATAACCAGAGTCATCTGGAAGAATCTGGAGTAGTGAGAGAATGAAAGAGACTGGACACGGCCAAGGCCTAATTCAGGGCATGAAAAGAATATGTGGGTTATACGGAAAATGCATAGCTGAGGGTAGGGAAGCCCATTATCTGGAGCAGCCTAGGTCTTTAAGACAGAAGAGCAAGTGAGAAGGGCTAGGATACAGGCCTGGGCTTTAAGGTGTTTAATAAATTTGTGTGAAAAGGAAAGTGAAGTAGCCTGAAGGGCAGCAAGGGTTTGATATGCAATCAGAGGTATATGTCAATAGCAAGCCATTTGATCCTTTAGGCAGAGACAAAGGAACTGACTCCTTTTGGCTGATAACCCACCTACAGTAGTTTCTGGGGAATGCTTCTCTTATCTAACCACCAAAAATGCTACTCTAGTTCAATTTGAGGTAACCTTAGAGTCATTTTGGGGCAAGTAAGTGGTCCTGCCTTTTAGGAGGAAATGCACTATGTACTGCAACTTATTATATGACAAAGAAATTAAAGAATTTTAAAAAAATATACCTGAAGCAAGAATATGAGAAAACCAAGAGAGGACTTAAAAGGACATAACAGGACTCAGGGTGATGAACATTGGAAATAAAAGAAAAACATCAGGGTCACCAGATGAAAAACAAACAGTATAAACAAACAAACAACACCAAACTACCCACCTAGGTCACCACCAGCACAAAACAAAAACAAAAACACACAAAAAAAAAACCCGTAAAATTAAGCATAAAAGAGAGGAATCCATTGATTAGAAAATGAGACTCAAACTTTTATAATGAGAATGAGAGAGTAGCACACTTGATGGAATCCATGGTTGCAGTGCAGCTGCCTCTGCGTGAGGAAGGCAGAAGAACCCAGTAACCCACCAGCAGCAGGACACCAGCAGCACTCAGCTCCCATATCTTGTCCAGTCATACTTCCAGACATCCATGGCTAAAGAATAGCATGCAGGCAGGCTGGTGGCTCCTCTCTTTGAGCTCTAGTGAGCACTGCCTAGACTGAGTGCCTTCTCTGCTCACTTTTGATGGAGGCAGAAACGAAGTGGCCAGTCCCTGCTGCAAAGCCCTGGACAGGACACCCAAAGAAACTAGTATCTAAGTGGATGCCAGGCAAGAGCAGTGTGGGAGGGAACTGGCCTGACGGAGAAACAGAATAGCAGTGGGCATATAGCACACATGTGGATGAGGACCAGGTCTGCATTCAGAGCCAGGCATAGATTCAGAAATGAGCACAAAGGAGCATGGAGGAGGGGAAGAGGGGGTGAATATCTGGAGGAGAACTGGGTCTGCAGCCAGTACCCTGAGGCCCATGCAGACGCGCTTAAGGCACTGAGGTTAAAGGCAAGGTGGAGGAAGAGAGGTACTTTGCTGTGTTTCACTCTGCCTCCAAACAGGTTAGCTCCCATGGCGCTGGCGCCCTAGGCTCTGGGAGCTCAGCTTAAAAGTGGCCAACTCTGGTGACTCACAGTTCCTAATTCTGCTGGTTGTGCACTGCCCCACTGCCACTCTCTAGCCCATCCCAATTGCACCAGAGAAGCTAGAAGCACACAACTCAGGAGCAGATGCCCAGGCAGGTTTGTCCTCAGGCTTCTTGAGGGTGGTTAGGGACCAGCGCCTGGTGCTGAGGCTTCGAACCAGGAAAAGTTGGCCATTTGTCCCCTTAGCTAACAGGCTCTTCCTTTTTCCCCCTCTTCAGCCATGGACACAGGGCCCAGCACCAGCGCCCAATATTCCAGGACCCAGAAGGCCAAAGGGCAGCCCAACAGGCTTCCTAAAGGAGCCAATGGCCATGAAGCCACCAATGATGCTGGTCAAATGGTGAAAAATGCTTCACAGGAGATGCCTAAGAGTGGATCTTCCTCTCCTGCCCAAAATAACCTCGTGGGCCGCAGAATTTCCCACTTCTGGAAGGAAGATAATGGGGACGTCACTCATTGGAAGGCTACAGTCCTGGAGCAGGTTGCTGTAATGCCGTCTCTCTATCTGGTAAAATATGACAACATCGACTGTGTGTATGGATTAGAACTATACAACGACAAGAGAATAATATTCCTTGAAGTTCTTTCTGAAAGGGTGGAAATTTCCGAAGGCCCTGATCCCATGCTTGCCGATGACATAATTGGAAAAGAGGTGGCACACCTCTTTGAGGAAGACTGTGGACTTAAGACTCACTGGAGGGGGATGGTCCTGGGTCTAGCACCAGTGTTAACAACCTTTTTCTATATTACCTATGAGAAAGATCCAATCCTGTATATGTACCAGCTTCTGGATGATTATAAAGAAGGCAATCTCCGTATCATTCCAGGCTTGGATGAGGCTCCTCCACAAGAAGTAGATCTGGGAATTGAAGGTGGTCTAATAGGCAAACGTATAGAATACAAAAACGAAGATGGATCTTCTAGAATTGGGAAGGTGATCCACCAAGTTGAATCAAAACCATCTGTATATTTTATCAAATTTGAGGATGATTTCCATATCTATGTCTATGATATGGTGAAAAGGATCTGATTGATTGGGAAAGCCAGGTCACAACTGTTGAAATAAAGTTATGATTTCTATATATGCTGAGGCCTTTGAGTGCATTGGCAGCTCTCAGTGAGCTTAACGGTTGGTTGTTCTAGCAAAGACACATATTTGTGTGTAAGCCATGCTCTGTGAGCACTTTGAAGTATGGAAACACTGGGTGTATTATGGTGGGTGGAGCAGGGAAGGATGGAACAGCTGTCAATTCAGCCCTTGAGAGAAGTGAGCACATATCCAAGATCGTCATCTAAAAATGGATGAGACTTATATGGTCAGGTTGGGGGGAGGAAGAGAAGGGACTGGAGATGGTATGTGGAGGGGGGGCCTGAGAAGTTGACTGCCTAGGTACAGAAGGAAAGTAGCCAGAATGAGAGAGATGCCACAATGAGGGGAGGGACAGAGTGAAGGAAGAAACATGGACTGGGAACGGATGATGGAGGGAGGTAAAAGAGAGTGAAGCCTTCTGGTCAATTCTGGCCCTCACAAGACCAGACCTACTACATAGAAGAATACAGAGAGCAGCCTACATGAGGTTCTCAATAAGGGTACTCAAGGTCTGCTCCACAGGGAGGACTATGATGAGAGAGGATCTGGGACGTGGGAGGCCAGGAGGACTCACTTATACCCGATATAGGCACTAGAAGGGTGTATATGTAGAAGGAACAATTCCAGGAAGAATGCCTTTTTGGCAATCCACATTCTTCTCGGTGGCTGTCCATGGTGGTAATGGTTACCTGGCAAACAAAGCACAAGCACTGGAGAATCCCTGAAAGCTCTTTCCATGGGACTAGTAGAACAGTGGAACCGAATGGCCTACCGGACTGGCCTGGTTTCAGAGAGCCTGACACAATATGAACCCTAAGCAAACTAGTAAGAGTTCCATGCTAGCTCTGCAAACAGGGTAAACACTTCCTTTGATTAAATGGATCCTTGGTGAATCCAGGAATGTCAGTCAAGTCACACTGTACTTCGTCTTTCTGGAAGTCCTTGCATTCCACGGTAGTGGGGGCATCTGATGATTGTGCCTCATGTTCATGCTATAGAGAGAACTTGGCAGTCCATGCTCTTTCACAGTTGCCTGAAGCCACAGATAGCTGAATTCACTGTCCTGGCAAATAGAATATGCCCTTCTTTAGGCCTATCATTCCAGTTAGATTCCTTACAAAGCCTATAGCAACTCACAACTTATGGGCCCCTACAAAACAGACAAGCTCCCTCTGCCTTCTGAAAATCAAAGCCAATCCTGATGGAGATGTGTTGTGTTCATCTCTTTTTTGAGAATGTGGTATAACCACCAAGGGGGGTCGTTGAGTAGGGCTGGAAATTGTGGCTTTGACTAAGTAATTCCTTAGGATGTACAATGTCATGTGGAATGGCTGTCGTTTATGGGGAGAGAAACTTGCAATGGCAGTAAATGGCCTCAACACTAGGTAGTCATGTGTCAACCTCTTCAGCCTTCTCTAGTCATTCTTCATCCTTATGAAGTCCCTCTGAGAGCCGCATGGTGTGTTTGACCTTTTCTGTCAGGTGTCATCTCAAAAGTGTCTTTCTGGTTCCTGCTCCTGAGTTCTTCCTGAGGCCACAACTGGAGGACTTGAGGATATCCTAGACATTGAAAGAAGGTGTCAAATATCATTGATGCACCCCACCTAGCATGCAGTGACCTCTTAGGCTGAAGGCCTCAAGAATGGTAAAATACAAGCACACCTCACCTGTAGGTTTAGTCTCTATTACTACATAATATGGTTTGGCTGGGCCAACATCAGCAGGTCCTCCAGGGACCATTTCTGCTAACTCCCATGTTTTCCTTGATGTTTCTATTTCTGTTGTGTTATGCATCAAGGCAGACTTTAGGTCAGTTCCTATAATATAAACACCTTGGGATAGGACTCATGACCCCACAAGTAGTAAAAAATGGTGGTGTGAGCAAGGGTTTGAATTATTTTAACCTTGGAAAGTTTTCCCTTGGATGTGCCTCCAGTTGCCCTGCCGTGTTTGGCGAAAGAGGCCTGGGCAAGAGCCTAGTGCAAATTCATGAGCCTGGATAAAGTTTGGCAACCAGTCTTTGGCCTGTAATGTCTGCAAAGTAGTGAGTCACTAATATCTGATGTAAGACTGTTGAATGCCTTGTTAGTTGCTAGCTTGGTGGAATATTATTGGCCCTTTCTCTTCAAGTAAACCCAGCCCATCCTAAGATTCCTACCCACTATGCCAATCCTATATATGTCCTGCTTGATGTAATAAACTGAATTCATGCCACTGATCAGGCAGTCACCATGCAGTATCTGAATGTTCTTGCACTGTGCAAGGCCTGGGGAACAGGATGACATTTCCTGGGTCCTCTTGTCTGAAGGAGGGATTGCTGAGGAACCACCCTGCAATTGACTTGCTGGCAACATGGGGCAACCACAACTGAGGCCAAGCCATCACTCTAGGTATGCTAGACACTTAGCATGGATAATGCAAACTCACCTAAGCATGATCCAGGCATTATGACTCTCCACCTCATGCTTCAGTCAAGATGTCTGAAGCTCAAAAAAGCAAATGTCATGACAAGTTTTGATACCATCAAAGCTTTAGCACCCTGATTCCCAGATCCTAACCTCTTCTTTTGGGAAACCTGGGAGAGGGTTGGGAGGGTGGTGATAGGAAGAGAAAAGGACTTTTGTGAGTTCCCCTCCATCAGGTTCCACCCTACTTTCATGGCCCTTAAAGGTCCCCACTCACCCCTGCATATCTTGTCACAGTGGGTAAGGCTTACCTTGAAACTAACCTGCTGGTCTGTGGCCAGCTAAACTCAAGGAAGGAGAGGAACAGGAATGGATGTGTACATGCACTGTTATTAGGCCAACGTCCTGTCCCTTACCCAGAGAGAAAGTGGAAAAATGAAATTTGGCTGATATCGAAAAGGAAAGAGACAAAATGACCAACCCTCTATGGACTGATTTACAATTCTTCCTAACCTATCTTCTCCTATGTTTGTGCCTCACCACCTCCTCCTCTTCCTTCTCCTCTTTATCCTCATTTTCCTGACCTGTATGATTAATTAGATCATACAATTCATCCACCAGAGGCTTCATTAGGTGAATGTTCATTAGCATTGATTCACTACTCAAGGGCCAAGCTTGAGTAGTGAGTCTGGCATTACAGATAGTGGGATTAGAGTTGGTGAAGCTCAGTGGCCAGCGAAGATCTGTCATGTGTGAGGAGAAGCAGCCAGCAGGGCAGCTGATCGAGAGAGGTAGAGAACTGTGGGAAGTCATGGGTATGGGGGAGGGGTTTGTCTTCGGGGTGTTCGTGGTGCATCTAGAGAGTTGGCTGAGAGGTTAAGAGCACTGTCTGGTATTCCACAGGTTAAATTCCCAGCACCCACATGGTGGCTCACAATCATCTGTAATGTGGTTTGGTGCCCTCTTCTGCCATGCATGCAAAACACTGTATACATAATAAGTAAACAAATGTTAAAATGATATCACTGGGTCATCAAAGAAACATTAAAGACATACAGGTTACAACCTTTAGAATGGAATTTCGATTTTCCCTTAACTGAATGAGGGAGAGGGTTGTACATATAAAGCAGAAGTATAGCATGGTTTGTGTTATATAATATCAAACACACTCTGCCATCTCCAGAATACCAATTCTCAGCTCTTGAAAACTGGACCACAATCACAAACCTACCAGATACAAGTTGTGAGTAGGTGATTATGCATGCTGCACACAAGAATCCTGTGCCATAATATACCTTCTGTATTTTTAGAAATAGCATTTACCCAAAGGTGTTGATTTCTCATTGTCTTTAAGGATTCTTGGCACACTCAGTAAGACTTTGTATCAAATACAATTCTGAGTGCACTGGAGATAAGCCTTTTATCAGTATTTAGATGATTACTTAACCAGCAGAGCATTCTATGGTAGGAATACACCCATGGAGGAATGGAAAGGTGGGCCAACTCAATATAAATTCTCTGGAACACTAAGCCCTTTATGAATACCCTGCTAACCCTAGGTTCTAATCCTATAAAAAGAATAATGACCATATCGTGTTTCCCCAAGTGTGACACTCTGAAGGGAGTGGTCCCCATAAGCTCATGAGGATTGGCAATATTAAGAGGTGTGGCTTTGCTGGGGTAGATGTTTCCTCACTGGAGGAAGTATGTCACTGTGTGGCTTTGAGGTCTCCTAAAGCCATTCCTACTGTCTGAGTATACCTCCTGTTGCCTTGAGATCAAGTTGTCTTCATCACCAGGTCTGCATGCACATCTCCCATGGTGATAATGGACTGAACATCTGCACTGTCAGCCACCACTTCAATTAAGTGTTTTTACATTATAATAGCTGCCATAGTCATTAAAAGACATATCCAGTTCAGAATGCATCCTACTTGTACTAAGAACATTTGCCTGTATTTCTTGACCCATGGGAAGAGTGATTGTCTGAAGCCTTCCTATCTCTTCTTGGTTGATTCAACACAAAGAAAACAGAAGATCTGGAAGAGAAAGGAAAAAACAAAAAACAAGTCCTTTATCTTAAATTTCACTGGGACAATATTTGTAGAGTCAATAGCATTTTGAGGACGGGGTATTCTCATTAGACGGAAGTTAAGACCATTTCCACAGTTCTGGGTTGTACTCCACCAGATAAGAGGATTTCAACCTGTGGGTCATGACCCTTGAAAATTGAATGACCCATTCCTTGGGAATTTTATCAGATATCCTGCATTTCAGATGCATACATTATGATTCCTAACAGTAGCAGAATTGCAGGTATGAAGTAGCAATGAAAATCATTTTATGGTTGGAGGTCCCCACTACAAGGATAAGAGTATTAAGGTGCCAAAGCACTAGGAAAGTTGCAAATCGCAGCACTAGGTTAAGTGTCTTCTACTTTGCTGTCTCAGAGAATATTGGAAATGGACTTGTTATAGGGTCTCCTATATGGGACTGAAAATTATAGGGGGGAGCTATGCTTTTGATATCACCAAA